GATCATTTGGTTGAAGTTCTCTTTTCAACAATACGCTCATGTTATAACTGACATTTTAAACTCCATTTACGTATTGCGGTTTTATCCCAAGAGATAATAACTTTTTTTCGCTTTTTTTCCTATTTTTGTTTTTGCTCTGCGTTTCCCATAAAAAAGATTGGCAATCTTGATTTAAAGTTAATATAATATTCAAGGAATTAATATATTTATTTTTTCATTATTACTATAGCAAATTAATATATTTGCTACATATGTACGTAACTGAAGAATTAACAAAAATTCATTTTTTCTCAGTATTACAGCTAATTTTAACTATTATAAGATATATTGGTTAAGAAAACATATAAAATCGATAGTGTTAAAGTTTTTATTGTTATTTTTTATTGAAATGTCGATTGATCATGTGAATATGCACCACGCATTATTTCATGCCGATAAAGATTTGTTATGGAACGTGTAATTTTTACAACTTGGAGATGTTATATATAGTATATAATTTTATTCATTTAATATAAATACTTTTATTTTTGAGAAAAGAATGGGAAAAAAACAATCTTCTCTCAAATGTACAACATTTAAATATTAAAAGATATTTTCGCATTGATTACGTATTTTAACGGTTTTTTGAATGTCCACCACAATGGATAAATTTATTTGCAGTTTCGACGAGCAGCGAAAAAAAGTAAAACCTACGTTGTAGTTTCTTCTTTAAAAAGATCGTATAAATCTTAAGAGAAATTTCTTCTTAAGAATATAATACATAATATTGCAGTAAATTCCAAGGAATAAGTTGTGCAGCTTTCTATGGGAAATTTTACGAAAGCAATTTTTATATCTTTCTTCGTTCTTTCTTTCGGAATGTAATTGTGACAACGCAAGAAAAGTTGTATCTCTCTTACTTTCTTAGTGTATTATTAAAGACGCTAAGTATTTTTTAACATAACCACAAAAATTTATCTGTATATATATTCTATAAGGCACTATTTCATAATGCATACTTTTAAATCGAATCTTTCGGACGCAATCGCTCGCTCGCGTCTCCCAATTTTCATTCGGCCATCCTCTTGAAATGTGCATGTTTAAGACAGCCAACGATCCAATTATTTCGATCGTCTGTCACCGCGGCGATCCACTCGAGGCGAAGAGGGAAAAAGGAGGAAGCAAGTAGAGTCGTTGACAGCTTCCTTTCGCCCACGCCGACTCAGCGCAATATTTCGCGCCGTACCGTTGAGGTGGCATATCGACATTTCGAGGATGCATCATAAGTGGTCGCCATTAGAGTGTGTATAAAAAAGGATATAATAATCTGTTTCTCGCTGGGAAACGCGTACGTCCCCGCGCATTCTCAAACTCCCCAGAGAAATTATCCTTATCGTCGGATAAACCGCGCTTCGATTTATGAGTAGCTCGCAATTTTTCTCTTGTTCCGCTAGACTACAAGCGATGTAGTCAATTATTTCGATTGGCGGTCTCTTCCAAGATTTGTGTGACAAACACAATATTTTTGTAAAATAATATAGAGACATCTCGACATACGTTAACATAAAAATAATAATCCTTAGTTATTTAGTCAGTATTATATAGTTTCATAAAATAGATACTTTAATTTTTATAATTAAATCGACGTAAAGAATGGCATAAGAGCATGGCAAACGTAGTATATAAAGCGCATATGTTTTGTTATAAATATAAAATTATTGTAAATTGTAATTATAAAGTCATATGTTTCAGTTTCTTCTTTTGAGCTATTCTCACTCCACTCAATTAAAAAGTAAATTTAAACATCGGTTACATGAATAAATTTGCAATCGATAAAAAATAACGTGAAAGACTTCAGTTCACTTTATGTCAGTAATTTTATTTATTTTTTCTTTTTTATTTGTATATATAACAACATTTATTTATGTAATCAATGTTTAAATTTACTTTTTAATTGCGTTGATGGCCAAAAAAGAAACGTATGATTTCACTTACAATAAGTTTATATTTACAACAAAATATTACTATATTTTTTTTATTTTGACTTGATTATATTCAGAAGAGTCTTTAAAATGTTTTTTATTGTTCAATCTTTATTAAATGTATATATAAAAGCTAACTATTATACATATATAATTATTATTAATATTAATAGGAATTAATATATTATTATTAATATAATTATTATTAATAAGAATTAAAATTAATATTATTAGTAAAAAATTAATATTATTATTAATAAGAATTAAAATTAATATTATTAGTAAAAAATTAATATTATTAGTAATTAATATTATTAGTAATTATGCATACATGCATTTATATATGTATAATAATTTTTTTTTTTAATATTATACTAAATATTGTATATAATCTTTATATTTTCGCTTGTTATTAATAATTCTTATTATATTATCTTAGTATAATATAAAATAAAATAAAAGAATGATAAAATTTCTTTGTAAATTACGGATCATTTCCATTATATGTATGTATATTTTGTACTGGTTGTAATGAGAAATTTACATCGCGTGTATTTCACATATGAAATCGTTTGCTCGCTCTCTAGAAACACAATTTCCCGCAATATCCTTTAAATAATATACATAAAGTCTATAATGACAATTCTGTCTAGCTACGCAATAATCTGTGAACGGTGCAGAATATTCGCATCCTAAGATCATAAACGACGTCCTATTCTTTCATTTTGATTGATGCTCACGGATTGTTCTAATTGTAGCACCTTATGAAACGTACCTCGCGTGATAATGCATCATTTTATGGCTTCTCGCTCTGTCAATTTTCATAAGAGGTGCCGCTCTCATGTGTCGCCTGTGAAATTGCAAAGCGCGGTAGAACGCTTGAAATGCTATTTTAATTAAAACCGCCGTTTCAAACGACTCCCATGAAAGTCCGTTTGCCGCTGCACGCGAAGTGTTAATAATTTGAGCTGCAACGAGTCATGCCGCAAACCGCGAGAAATATTCTACTTATTATTTTCAGCTTAAGCAGCAGCACCCATACTACAGTTTAACCACTTTAACTATCTTTCACTGTGAAGCACTCTCAAATAATAAAAACGCTTCTTAAAAAAAAACGCAAGATTTTTCATTTGCCAAATTCACCAAATTACAATTATTGATATTGAAATACCAATAAATTACCGATAAATTACTTAATGTTTATGTCAAGTAATCAAATTTTTATTATGCTATTTATATAAATAATTATCACACGGTATCGTTTTCTTCTTCGTTCTTGTGCGATATATCTCAAAGAGATACTACACTCTCGGCTATCATAGTGGTGATGTATTAACGGGATATAGCTTAACTTCGAGCTATTGTACGGTATATTCACAGTGTGTTGTCCCAGAATAGTCGTCCAGTGTGTTGTCCTCTAGGATGCAAAATCTGCTTACGTGAGAACATTGGTCTTACTCGAGTTACCGCCGACACGGCTTCAATTAAACTCGGTTTCTTGCTCACCTCTGAATTAATTATTGCTAACATTCGGACGAAACGCATAACAAAGCATGTTTCTTTGTCAGAAATTATTCTAAATTGTTTTTAAAGAACTTTTTATTACATTACATGTATATTTGACATTTTACATTATGTCTTTATTATATTTAAAATTATACGCACATTTTTATTGTTAGAGACAAAAGTAATATTTAAAATAACAAATAAAAATATTTACATGAACTATTTTTATATTAACTATTTTTATATTAACTATTTTTATCCTACTTCTGAATATGGATTAATATAAATTATTATTTTTTGTATATTAATTAAAAACTTATTTAAAATTTTATTGACTTTACAAATCAAAAATATATTTTAGATCTATATTTTTAATTTAACATTTTAAATCATTAATATAAAAAAATGATTTTTATTGCATGGATAATGAATATCTGAATACTAATCACTTTCACAGATTTCACTTTGACTTGATTTCCATTTTGAAAAATTTTTCCAATTTTTTTCCTATATGCACATATGAAAAATAAAAAAATATAAAAACAACTAGGAAAATTTTACATATATAATCCAATTCATTTTTCTCTTTTACATTATGTCTCTTACAGTATGTTTTTATATTATGTTTGATCTGATGGGTACTTTGAAAAAAATATATATTTTTATTTTATTAATTTTCTAACTTTTCTTAGTATATATAATATTTAAAGTAATGTTTATATTTCTGATTTTTATTATTATTTCAATTATTATTTCAATTAACAATTTCTATGTTATTATATTTTAAATAAATATGTTCAATAATTTAAAATGTTCTCTTCGTTCTTAAAAGAAAAAATATCAAGAATCTGAATAAAAAATTCTTTTCTAACGCTAATTATGTAATAAATTTAATGATAAAACTGATTATAATACTAATTGATGTATAATTTTATTTCATATCTCTATAGAAATTTTTAAACGATTACATAAATTTTAAAATAAATTGCGTTCTTTTTCAGAGATGCACGATTTGTTACTATGATCCATAAAACACGTGGTCTCTATATAAAAATACGAATCAATATATGCAAACACATATGCGCAAACTCGAGCGAATCAATCAGCGAATCGTTTGCATATGCAAAGTTTATTTTCACAAATTATCTGGGCATCTGTCCTTCTGGTCCGAAGAGACCGGCAAACTAATACGCTGTCCCTCTCCACGCTAGAATCACGAAAGTCAAAGTTCCTGACGGTAACTTGCAACGGTATCCGCGCCTCCCCGGAAGACCCGCAAGTCGGATGCTTTGATTATACTTAGATGCTCGGGAGAGTATTGATTTCGTCGGATAGCGCGATTCACGGGTTTCCATGCCATTAAGCGGTCGACCTAATATGTAATTCGTGTGGAGATCGTGTGATGATTTTCTCATGTGGACAAGTATCGTCGCGAATGATTCTAGTCTCGATTCTGCTTTAGAAATCAACTCGATACATCTTGTATGTTATTAATACATTTTTGGTGACTAATAATTTATTTCGGTCTTTCAGGATTGGTAAAATTGCGACAGTTGGTGAGGTCACCGAAAATCCGTGACATTGAAATCAATCTCAGACAGGCGGATCCGAATTCGTACAGGCAGGTCCTCTCCGAGATGAAGAGTAAGGAAATTCAGAATCTCATCGTGGACACAAAGCCTGAGCACATGCATCATTTTCTACGAATGGTAAATCATTCATTACATTCATACTCGAGAGATATGGACTCTATTTATAATTTTTATTTAAATTGCTTGTAAATTATTAAACGATTAATTAATTAATCAATTTATATATAACGTCAATTATTTATATTTATATAATTAATATCAATTATATTTATTAGCATTAATTAATTCTATTTATATTGGCCAAATAAATATTTTAAAGCAATTAAGATAAATTTAAAAAAAATCTATCGCGAATTGTGAACTTACAAAAAGTTGATAATATTATGATTTCGAGAGATGAAAACTTGCTAGAGAGAAAGAGAGAGCTATTTTATATATTCTATTTCGTGGAAGTGGCTGACCATATCGCTTCGCATACATTGCAGATCCTGCAGCTGCAGATGAATGATTACAAGTACCACTACCTCTTCACGACTTTCGTAAGTACCCTAGGGATATTGAAACGCATAGTGGAAGATCCACTCGGTTCGCGATTCGATTCACCCGCTCGGCTTCTCCATAGGATATCGAAACCTTCGACCTCGAGGACTTCAAGTACAATTTTGTCAATATCACTGCCTTTCGTTTGGTCGACGCGGACGATCTTGGCGTACGTAGTATCCTGAGGGACATGGAACGTTATCAGCCAGCAGGGAATACGATTCTCAATAAATCGAGAATCATTCAGGTAAGCTGTTTGTGTTTACAGAAACATGCGCGCTGCGAGATGCGTTGAGAAAAAAAAATGGAAACACTCTTGCGATTCTCGATTTAAGAATTGAGAGTGCAAATATAATTGCACCTTGTGAAATCTTTATTTTTATTTTAACGCTCTTTTCTGATATTTTTACATACGTAGCAATTGCGCAATTTTATCAGAAGATATATCTTACATTTGGTAAAAAAAATTTCTCGCATCCCTTTTCAGAGAAATAAATCTTTAGTCAAAATGAGAAAATTGCGATCACATTCATAAAGTTTTATACCAAGATACCGTGCGTTTTCATTTCGCGATAACATTTCATCGACTATAATTTCTCGCGAAGCGATGGCCAATGGTATCGTATCTTTGAAAGATTGGCATAATCTCGATGAAAGATGTAACAATTTATTGTCGCGTTACATATCCGTTGCCGCATCTGTATGTCGATACGTCAACGATGCCCGGATACTTTATGGAGCTACAAAATCGGTTAAAAGCTATTCGAAATAACGTACATATTTACCGGTTACGGATAGAATTACATGGCTACCAAAGCAACAATAAAACTGTTTTTGAAGCAATAAAGTGCACAGACAGATATGAGGCACAAAAGATCCTTTTTCTATGTAACAAGCTTGTAAATGTAGCCGTAAATGTTGAAATAAACTGTCGAACGAGTGCAAAAAACGAATCATAAAATAAATACTGGCTTTAGAATTGTTCCAATTTTATTATTATCTCTGATATATATATATATATATATATATATATATATATATATATAAATAGAAAGAGTGCACTCTGTCGTAGAATCTCTCTTGCAAAGTATTCAGATATTGCGATATCGGAAAATGGAAATCCAGCGTTTGTCTTCGTACTTTTGTACAGAGACACAATTTCTCTAGTCGATTCGATTATATTGAATTATGATGTATGAGTTTCTCGTAATGCATATGAAAAAAGAAAATCGCATTTGCATTTAAATTGTATAACATTTTATTCAAAAGACGTTGTTGCAAATTCCTCTAATGGAATATATACGCAAATATGAGATAACATGAGATATACATTTATACGTCTATTCAAATGACATTTTCTTCATCATCAAATTATACCGTTAATACAAAATTTGCGAAATATTATTCGTTAGAAATAATCTGTATAACGTATGGGAAATATGAAAATAGACATACATTTCTCATGTAATTTCTATTATTTAGAATAATTAATCACGATGCTCTTATCATTTATAACCGATATGATATGTTGGAAAAGAAACTCGGAAGAAAAACGTGCGAATCTTTTCCCTGATGACAAAATTACGCGACAACATACGCTATGTATGTAAAAATTCGCAAACAATGTCCGTTCGCGAGCAACGCAACGCGTTTGCGACGTGTGAAGCTTAATGCTTTTTTTCCAATTTAGATGCAGATCAGAATGTCGTTGCGACATTCGTGAAACTCCAACGGTGCTGTCGTCGCGACGACGACGTTCCATAATCGCGTTTCGTATCACGCACATGTGGGCAGGCGTAAATACGTTAAAGTGTATCGATGAAGCACCGTACGTACATGGGAGATCACGATTTCATTCAGCTCCCGCAATTCATCGAGCTTACAATTTTTTAGGTTTTAACTTTTTCTACATTAATTAGTTGAATATCCGTCTATAAGTCTTTGGATTTTCAAATAGGTCATCTGAATTGTCATATTCGACTCTAAGCTCTTATATCTTCGCTCTTCTGAGAGACTCTTGAGTCTTCAGTTTCTTAGATCCCTTGACTTTCATTGACTTCTTGAATTTTTAAGCTTTGGGATCTAAGAGATCTTCTTTTGTTCTTGATTTCTTTCGTTTAATATATATTGCATGGATACAAAAATAGAGATGTTATTATAATTGTAATAGTAATAAATAATGTCTTATAAAAAATCTTGGCGAAAGTATCAAAATCAAATAATATTCTCACGTAACGCAATGTGTTTCGTGAAATACGGAATATAAGTTCATGGGATTATAAATACACACAGATCTCTCTTTATTTGCTCTGTCCGCATGGCGGTTGCTTGAATGCAAATAATCCTTTCCCTGCGTTGAAACCGAATAAATAAATCGATTTTCCAGGCGCGTGATCTCGCGCCGGATTTCCACAAACATGTGGACGATTCGCATCACGGAACTGCACGAACATATTCGTCTCTCTACAAACGTCGAATTCTCTTCGATTTACAAGCAAAATATGCGATGTTTACGATAAGTGAAAGAGGCGTTTCGCGCGTGCAATACGCGAGAAACGATTTGCGCGAAGAGGGTCTCTTCGAAATTACCGTTAATAATTCAAATAGAGCGATATTATTCCGGGAATATATTCGCGTTATACCTGAGGCCTTTTTTATGGTTATTATTATTTTTCGCACCCTCCAATCTCGTTCGCCCAGAGGACCGGTATTTCAGGGACTGTGAAGGGTTATTTGCATGTATAACAAAACCAAGGGGATTCAGTCAGGTTTGAGAAAAAGCGCGATCTTTTGTCCGAACGATTGTCCGAAAGGATAAAATAACATTTTCCTGGAAACGTATATTTACCGTTTTTGAAAAAAATATGCATTCCTAAGGAAATTTGCTATTTCTCTAGCTCAGTCTGCGATGGAAAGGACGAAAGAAAATGATGTTTTATTCAGTGAGCATTTCGTGCCGCTTAAAGTCGTTCTAACATCACCTGAAATATTTTAGATCTATCAACTTTTTTATCCTTGCATAAATGTATTTCGGCTGAAAAAGATACTTAAAAGGATAATTTATTTTCTTTCAATTTATAACTCATAATAAAATTAAATCACGTTACTCTGTCAGTTGTGCGTCCGCGAAGAAAAGACGAAGATAGAAATTATACAGATTTGAGTAAATCTCTCGCAATCCTTCTTCGAATAATCGAAATATTCTCTTTCGTTCGTCGCATCTATGATCGAGAGAGAATTGTAAATAAACAACCTGAATTTCCAGATGCGATACTGAGATTAAAAAACTTGGTCGCATTTACAATTCATGAGAAAATGTCCGGGTTCAGATCCACGAGAAAAAGAGTTCTCTAATTACTTCCGCTACAGCCGTTAAACTTCCCGAGGTGGCATAATGCGAAGGCGTAATATTCAAATGTAATATATACTCATTGTCAGAAACGGGCTGCGAGATTTAATTAACTTAAATGCATTTTTGTTTTAATCTGGATAAACAATAATCTTATATTTTGCCATCGCGTAGAATGCATAAAATTTAAGAAGATTTCCACCAAAAAAATACCGTGTACCACTTTCTCTCGATTCTGGGAAGCTAAAATTCAAGATTATTATCCCTCTCGTGGAATTTTCCGCGTTTATTGCTTTGTCGGAATTTCGGACATTAGCCGCAACGTGGTTACGAGCAATTCAAGAACATTCTAATTGTTCGCAAAAACGTTGTAAACGTGATGATATCGGCGGATATCAACGAAATAGCTCGAATTAACGTCTCTACAGTTGCCTGGGAATATTGCCAGGGAAGAGAAAAATTTAAGATACGCTTATGAAAATGTTAAACGGAATGAAGGACCAAAATTTGCAATATATATTGCTATCGGGAAAATATACCATATATAATATATTTTATAACAGTACAAAATACAAGCGATTATGTAATTATCGTATATAAAATTGCAGCGCAAAAATTAGGACACGTGTATCTCCTCTTCGATTTTGTAATCTTACTAAAAGATGTCAGAAGAGAAGCTAGGCTCGACCGTTATTACTATTTTATATCTCGTTAGCGAAATGGGCGCAGATACTCCCTGCTTTCCTATGACTTCCTTTCGCTTTTAAAAGTGACTATCTTTGCACGGTGTCATCGATTCAAATTTTTCAAGGTCTACCATGTGTGTAAAAATTCAATTATGACACGCATATATTTTAATCATTCATTTATACACAGCATATATATTTTGATTTTATATAAAACTATTTTTAAATCCTTTTATAATATTATTATATTAATGATTTAAAATACTACAATAATTAGAAGCATGCATTAACTTTGAGCCTACGATCGATCGTGATCGAGTTTAAGATGTTGTCGGCATTCTTCTCGACCGACGTCCGAATAATAGAGGCCTTCAGTCGAGCGAATTGTCAAACGCCTCTATATCGTCGAGAACAACCTGTTCGCATCGTCGACTCGCAGACTACGTGGTAAAATTACCTAGGTGGCTTTTGTTTCGACACCACTCGAGGAGGATGCACCCTCGTCGTTTACGCTCTTCCGGTCCCGTCAACCGCCGAGTCCTCACATCAACCACCACCTTCCTTTTTCGCGCCGCTAAACGACCGAGTTAACTCCGGCAAAGCCACACAAAAAGCTCGGTCACAATCAACGCTTGACGATGGCGAAGCGAAAGAAAGAGAAAAAAGAAGGAGGACGCAGTTTAGGCTCTCGAAGAGAGAAAGAGGAGCGGACGATTCTAGCCAGCAAACAGCCGCCGGGATAAGTAGGAGGCATACCTGGTTAGTCTCTCTCTGACTCTTCTCGCCACGAATTCATCGCAAGAAGCTTCAAGGGGAAAAATATAGATGCGGGTAGTGGTTTCTGGAAGAAGCGCGATATAAGTAGACAGAGAGAAAGATGGAGAAAAGCAGACTGTTACGTAATAGGAAAAAGTGGGAACGCGGATAAGAAGAAGCTTGTTACATCAACGTGGAAACCTCAGATGCATACTGATTGCGCTTACCGGCGGCAGAGCGTTTCCTCTCTGCCTGTTTCTTTCCCCTGCCTGCTTCGAGCAGGTTGTTCTCAAGCGGAAGAAAGAGAAGAGAGCGAGGTAACACCCGCGTTGAAGCGAGATGGACTTTTTCGGTCTCTTCTCTTCTATGTGTGGAAAACGCGAGGTAAAACGAGGTGAGACGAGTGCGAAGGGCACGAGAGCTGCTGATGTAACGGCGTAACGAGAGGGATCTACG